AAGTTTCTTCTTTACACTTTATTCGTCTTGGATCATATAAAGTAGCCTTAATGCCACGCTTAAATTCAAATTTTTGAACATTTATAAACATAACAGGATTTTTAATTGTTTTAGTTTTATGACCTGGAATGTCCCATTGCCTTGATTTACTTGTACAAGCAATCTCTTCAGGTACATATTCAAGTAAATTTAAAGAATATTCTGCAAGTTCAAATAACAAAGCCATCACGTGATTACAATAACCAATATTTCCAGCAGGGCATGAGCAATATGCTTTTCTAACAGAGCTAATCAATCTCCTAATATAAACTTTTAAATCATGAACTTCATTTTTCATGCTTGCTTTGCATTTTGCTTTTACTATGATACACGTTAGGTTACACGAAGTGTAAATACTATCTGATGATATATATCGTTCAGATTTAAATCTTTTACCTCTTTCAAATGTTTTTTTATTGCAATACTTTTGTTTTTAGCTTTTTTTTTTTCTGTAGTTTTCTATTTCTTTAATAGTGAATAGTGGCAAGTATTTTAAAGTTTTACACCAAGTTAAAGTTTTATCTGCAGATTTAAAATTCGGTGAAATGTTTAAAGTTCTATTTATTTCTAAAACGATTGGTATTTCAGTTGAATAATTTTGTATATCTATCAGAGCATCTTTTACTTGAGAGTTCATTTTTTAAACAATTATTTCGATATTTACGTTTTATCATTGCCTTATGTCATTACATCATTACGTCATTGGAATGCGGGATACGTCTATTGAATTCTGAGTCGAATGGCGACACGCGGAATGTTGCTTGACCAACACCTGCTGAGTTATTAAACAAAAGCCCGATCAAAATGCATAAAGCCCGTTTTTTAATAGCAACAATGCCTTTTTACACCTGCGTAATGTTAGATATATTTAGATAGATATATAATCTTTTTCGTCAATACAAAATCTTTTTTACAAAATTATTAACGTAACAAATTGAGTGGAACAAGCAGAAGACGATGGTTTTATCATATTTTTCTGTTAATTTTAATTTATATTACAATAAATATAAATTAAATATAAGGTAAACACATGTTTTCAAATATTTAAATATATATAAACATAAAAACTCGATTAAAATAGCGAGATAAATATATCTTTATAAATATAAATAAAATTAAATGCATTTTAATAAATATAACCATAAGCATTTTCGTGAAATTAAAAAAAAAATTTTAAGACGTGTAATAGTTTTTTAAAAATAAGAGATTGTTTCAGTACTGTTGAGGTCAAGTAATTGTTGTTTAACAACGCATTAAAAATATTTAAAAGAGTTTATCGCTTTAATCTCATTTGTGAGAAATGAGTTTCACAAATGTTGTCTTTTTCTAGATATTGAGAATTTCGATTGTCTCAAAGATTTTTTTGGAATATAGTAGTACTGTTTAGAATATTTTGTTTCGTATTTATGATCAATAAGTTGGAAGTAATTATGGAATATTTTCGGGACCAAAATATTTTTTAATTTAAACATAAAACTGATGCTATAGGTGTTTTATTCATAAATATTAAGAACTCTCATAATTTGTCTAGCATTAGCATATCCATTTGTGAATATGAGGCATGCTTGCTTAATTTTTAATAGACTAAAGCTAGTTTTGATTGATAAGTACTTGCCCAGTCAACATTGCAGTAGCTTATGTAGCTATGAATAAATGCAAAGTGTAAACTTTTAAGACATACTTTATTTAAATATACTTAGTTTTGTGCATAATCCCAATGCTTTTAGATATTTTATTTTCTAAAAACTTGATATGCTCTTTCCAGATAATATGTTCCTCTAAAATAAGTTTTAATGGTCACTTGTTTGACGTTGATGGTTTTGTGAAATGAATGTATTTGCTTTTTTCAATGTTCAAGTAATGTTTGTTGGCCTTTAACCAATCGCTTAGCTCTTCAATCTCCTGATTTTCTGTTTTTAAAAATAATCCAAATATTTAAGTGGGTGTAGAAAGCTTGGGTGTCATCAGCAAAAAGAATAAAATTCATTATACAAAAAGATAAAAATATGTTGTTAATATAGACAAGAAAAAGGACCTAGAATAGATGACTGGGTAACGCCACAAGTAAGGTTTTAATGGAAGTGTAAGTGTTATTGTAATATAAACTTTTTAAATCTGTATTGGTTATTAAATAGGATATTGTGATTTTGGAGAAGCGATAAAAAATTTTTGTACATTATGCGCTCTAATACTTTCGAAAAGCATGAAAGTATGGAGATAGGACTATATTTTGATAAAGTAGAGTTATCTTCGCTTTTATATATTGGGATTACGTGTGCTAGTTTTAAGTGTTCAGGAAAAACTCCACTTTTTAATGAGAGATTAAAGATGTACAATAGGGGATATTCAATAACATCATAGATTTCTTTAACTCCCTGAGAGCTTATGTCATTAAAGCCCGTATTTTTTCTGATTTTATTGTTTTAAATGCGTTTCGAAGCTCATCAGAAGATAAGTCAATCTCTTTCATAACAAAGTCCACTTCTTTTAAATATGATTTAAATATGATTTAAATATTTTTTATAACAATTTAACAAAAATTTAACATAGTATAATAATCGTAACAAAACTGTTTTTATAGTTTGTTTTTAATGTAAGAATGTTTTTTATGTAAGAAACATCTATAACTTAGAAAAACATGTATTAAATATGACTTTGCGTCATAGTTAGTTTTTATGTATACTAGGCCTTTAAACACAATTAACATTTAAAGTAAGTTTTGCTACTGTTTTTTTTTTTTTTGCATCGTGATACCATTATAGCGATACCATTTTCTGCATAGTACACACAATAAATGATGGAGCGAATGCTTATTGTCTATTTTGTTTTTTGCAATCTAAACTGTAATAAAGTTTAAATTTACTCATGTCTAATTTTGATTGAGCAGGGGTTGATGCAATTTAAGTTACCTATAAATATTAATAACCTAACACTTCCGATGAATGCTCACCATTTGTGCGCGTTTTTACACGGAGTTATATGACCATGCTTGGCCTTTTAAATATTTCTCTTTTTGACCACGCGACGAGGTACTCTTGAATCTGATAAAATCTGTTTAATCAGTAATAAGATTGAAAACTTTTTTTCATCAACTTAATTAGTTATAAGTAATAGTTAGTAATAATTTTAATTTTTTTATTAAAAGACGATGGTAACTCTAAAAGACGATGCTCCTTTCATGAGGCCAAACTCTTGATAAAGTTAGTGTCTCTTGCATCTCACACAGTTACATGTTAGAAAGAACAAGAAAGAACAATGTTAACTACCTTACATTTAAGGAAGTTTACAAAAAATCTCTTTGCTTTTACATGATCGTTTTACAGATCGTTTGTTTTTACAAGATGTTAAACATTTATTATACGAGGTATGTCATTAAACATAAATAAGGCTGTATTTGTAAAGTTTCTAAATTATATATTTTATACATTTTATATAAATTTTATTTAGATAAAATTTATATATTTTATATAAATTATATAACTTATATATTTTTATATAGATTAATTTATATTTATGTGTTATCTATGTTAATGTGTTAAGGTTATATGGGTTCATATTTTGTAAGTGTGTAAATATCATTTATGTATTTGTAAATATTTTTTTAAGTTGTTGTGACTTGGCTTAGTTTACAGCAAGAGTGTTGATTTTGCTAGCCAAGTGGTGTACTTTGCAAGATTGAGAGCAAGATTTTTGTTATTGTCCATGCCAGTTAAGTGGTGTACTGCAGTACACCACTTAACTGTATATTTATTAACTAATAACTAATAAACACTTAACTAATATATACATATATATATATATATATATATATATATATATATATATATATATATATATATATATATATATATATATATATATATATATATATATATATATATAAATACAATAAAATATATTAAATTAAAGTGTCTATACATATATTATGTGTATAGAATATATATTATTGACTTTTTTTCTTTAGAATATTAGATATCTGAAAAAAATTAAAATAGTTAATCAAGTTTCAATATTTCCAAGTTTCTTCACTTAAAGCAAATATATGATTGTTTATAGAGGTTTTCTTTTATTAGTTTTGTATTTACTTATTTATTACAAACCTTGCATTAAATGCGTTTTAAAGTAATGAAAGGGTTTTTATGATGAATGATTACATTTTATTCTTATAGTTTTATTACTTATAGATTACATTTTATCCTTATAGTACTTGCTGAGCAGACAGGCCTTAATATTTTTAATTTGCTTTATTTATGAGTTCCTAAATGTAAAAAGTTTGTTTTTAAATTACTAAAACATTTGTTTATAAATTAAAGAAAATTCAACTTTTTATTATATTAAGCATCATTTTTACACACCTTTGATGCATGATTATGTCTGACAATTTAAGAAGTGAAATTATTATACTTCGTCAAAAAGAACTTTATAGGCATAATATGCATCGCAGAGCAAGAAATAATATTGCTACAGAGAATAATTACCTCGGAGAATTCAACCTTAATTGTCAGTATTGTAGTGTGAAGAAATTTTTAAATGAAACTCATTTTTTGTGCTGCTATTCAGGAAAAGTTGTATTAGCTTCACTTTCTCTATATCCACCGTTGTTGACTGATTTAATGACAGGAAACCATGTTGATCATGCTGTAAATCAAAATACATAAACGCATAAGGAGTTAAACACATAAGGAGTTATAAGTCCTCTTAATCATTTGCTTCCTTCACTGCCGAATTAGCTTCTCCCTCAAATAATGGCCATTTCTGTTTTAAGGTCTGTGGGCAAATTTTGCCATTGTGTTAGAAATTTGAGCCTGCAGAATTTTCCCAAATATTGTCAGTTATATATCTATGATCCTAATGCAGCAGTGTCTTTCAGAATGGAGCAACCTGGTAATGATGGTTGTATACGTGAGTTAATGCAACTTTTGCAAACATTAATTAATCAAGATGCTCTTGCATTTAAAAACATGGCAGAAGTAGAGGATGAAGAAATCCACCGAGCAGCTTTAGAAGGTAGACCAACTTCTGTTGTAAGAATGTCTTTGCTTGAAGGTCATGATAGACGTTAGTACAATCTTCCTTCCCATGAGGAGGTCTCTATTGTGTTTGTGGGAGATGATGGTGCTCCACCTGCATCCAGGGAAGTTGTTATACGCTGTCGAAGTCAGCCTTTAAAAACAATTTCGTCTATGTCTGCAAATTTAGATCCTATGATATATCTAATATTTTTCCTGAGAGGTGATGCTGGATGGCACAAACAACTGAAGCACAACCCTGACTGCGCAACCCGTGTTATAAACCATGTTACTTTGTCTCTATTAAAATTATAGGCTTGCGGTTAGACAAACTTTTAGTCCTATATTCTATGGTAAGAAACTTTTTCAGCAATACGTTGTTGATGCATATGTCAAAATTTAGGGACAGCTCCTTGCTTTTATAAGAAATAACCAAAACAAACTTAGAAGTGAACAATATGATGCAATGCATGAACATGTAGTTATTCGTGCTAATGATTTTAATGTAAGACCTGCGTTGTTATATTGCCTTCTTCATATGTTGGTAGTCCAAGAGCACTAAAAGAAAACTTTGAAGATACGATGGCAGTCATAAAGAAATGGTAAACCAAATCTATTTATTACTTTTACCTGCAATCCAAAATGAAAATTTAAACCTGCTAATGACAGACCTGATTTAGTTTGTCGAATATTTAAATATAATAAAACTTAAATTTTTCTTAGAAGTGTTGCAGAAGAATATGATTATGCAAAACGTGGAACACCCATTAATGTAGATTCATTAGCAATAAATAAAGAAGTTTTGGACCGTTTACCAGGCGATGTAAAAGTTTATTTAAGTACAAATACTATTGAAACAGATGATCTTAACAAAATCAACAACTTTCCTGTTGAGTTTTTAAACAGTCTCACTCCATCGGGAATGCCTGTTCATTGCCTAAAACTAAAAATTGGTACTGTTATAATGTTACTTCGAAATTTAGATCTTAAAGCTGGACTTTGCAATGGTACCCGATTGATGGTGCGTGCTCTAAAAAATAATTACATTGATAGGCAAGTTCTAACAGGTGTTTCAGATGGCAAGAGGGTATTTGTTCCTCGAGTTCAGTTAACACAATCTGATTCAAATTTACTTTTTACTCTTAAACATCATCAATTTCCTGTAAGATTATAATGTGTAATTTCCTATATGTTAATATATATATGTGTTATATAAAGTAAAAGATTTATGTTTTTTAAATATATATGTATATTTTTTTTATAATTGTGTGCAGTTAGTAGTTTAAATATGTTCAATAATCTCAAAACAACTCAACCCTTAACAATATAAACTGATTTCAAAAATCCACTTAAGCTGTTTTTTATATATTATATGCTCAATAACTCTAATTTTCTTTTAACTAACCTAATTTCTTCGTCCTTTAAAAGTCTGGGTTATCTAGAGTTTACTTTAACATGTTCTGTTATTAAATTAATTGTTGTGATGTTTTATGCTAATAGGCTTTGCTCATATTCATGTTGATCTGTCAGGGTTATGGAAAAATAAAAAGTAAGTTTCTTATCCATTTATTTGCATTTTTGAGTTTTCAAAATAATAATTTGATTGCATGACACGTTAATTTGTAATTAATGTGTATAATGTTTAAAATAATTTTGTTTCATTTTTAGGTCGAGTTCTTTTTCTTATGGCTGACTTGATTATGGTTTACCTAAAGCCTAATAATAATGAAACAATGTTTCAATTTTTAAAGTTTATATTTTTGTTTTATCTCAAGAAAAATATGTTTTTTGTTTCTTAAGTAAATATCTATATTTCTTTATTTTTGGATTTATTGTTTCAAATGGATATTGTTTCTAATGGATGTTGTTTCAAATTGATATTGATCATTTTTGCATTAATTTTTTTTTTATTTTTGTTGTTTTTTATTATATATATGAAAAAAACCATTTATACTTAAATCGTGTTTTGTACTCAAAGTTTCCATTTGCATTAAGTATCGATTAGCACAAACAACATGTTTAATAACTTCAGATGTAAAAACAGCTTAATTGAATAAATTAGTTAACAGTTTTGTTTTTTCAGCAAAGTTTTTATAAAAAGTATCAAACAGATAAAGCTAACTTTTTTAAAATAACAAGTCTCTTAGGCCCGTTTTCTAATGTCCAAATTTGTTTTTTAAATAAATCTTGATGAGAAGGTAAACTCTTGATTATAGCTTAAGTTTTCAAAAACACCTGAAGAATTGTTACGCAACTGTCTCTATTATGTTAAAGATCCTTTTATGTATAAAATAATGGAGTTCATTAAGTAAATAGTACAGTTTCTAAAGTATATCAAGTCAATTGTTTACCAATAACTTAAAATCGACTTATTTTTTGCTGTTTACTTAACGTATAGAACCCTAACCCGACGGGCATTTGTTTTTAAAAGTTACGTTCTAAATGTGTTTTAAACGTCTTTTAAACGTCTTTTAAACATTAATGTTTAAAAGACATTTAAAATACATTTAAATCGTAACTTTTAAAAACAATTGCCCGTCGGGAACTAAGAACAAGTTTGGAAACAGTATGTGGAATAGAGTTACTGCGACCCGTATCGTACGGTCACCACAGCTAATTCCGCAATTAAAACAGTATAATTGTTAATACATTTCAACAGTTGTATAAACTTTTTATAATTATATAAATAATTTAAGAGTTTTTTTGCAGAAACCCAGTAGGGACCGGACCTAAAAAAGACGATTTAAACGACTTTTTTACGTCCATGCATACTGGGAAGGTTTTTATATAATATATGTAATAAGTAAAAATACTAATTGGTTCTAAAGAACAGTAAATTGGAAATCAAGAACTATAGTTCTTGATTTCTAATTTACTGTTCTTTAGAACCAATTAGTATTTTTACTTATTACACATATTATATAAAAGCTTTCCGTACTGGTAATCAGTAAAATGCAAACTGTGTACTTTTTAGCGAACCAAAACATTTTAATGACCACAACAGTTATAATATTAAAAACATTTCCTCATCTGTTTTTTTAATTAAAGATATTGGTATCGATATATTTTATTTAAATTAGACTTTTCTTTTAAATTAATTATAATTTAACGAGCAATTATAGTTCGATTTAATTTTCTTAAGAGTTCGCATTTTACCATCTGGTAGGTGGTATAATGCGAACTTTGTAATTGCAATTAAAATTCGTATTTTACTATCTACCAGAACTTTAAAATGATTTTTAAACTGAACTTTAAATTCAACCTTTAAATTGAACTTTAGATTTATTTTTTGCCGTTTACTGAATAAATTAAAGTATAAAGACTAAGGAACAAGTTTAGAAATTGTCGGGTGTGGATTAGATTTTGGACGACCCGTATTGTACTGGTCATACAAGCTAATTTTCATTAATTCTACAAATTGCTCTCGGCTGTTATTGTTTAGTCGTAGTGAATCAAAAATGGAGATATAATTGTTGTTTAATAAAATCACTCCTAATATCCAATGATTGCTTCTTTCTATACCTGTATTTATATTCATTAAAATAAAGTCTTTGTTAAATATGTTGGTGCATAAGTTTTGAAAATTGCGCAATTTTTCCATTTACTAAATATCAATAATTAAAATATTCTAAGTAAAATATTTGATTTTATTTCTCAAACGACTTTAAGAACAGCAAATATAATTGATCAATTATGTTTGATGTTAATGGTTCATTTTCATTCAGCGACGGTTTAATTAACTCTTCAGCTGAGGGAACCAGTTGTGGCAAATTATTAAAATCTGCTTTAAAAGTTGTAACTGTTTTTTCTTCTAGGCTTTTATTGTTTTTATCATCTATGCTACTCGAATTCTTGGTAGAAACTTTCATTCTTTTATTGTTTTTGAATTTTTCTGAAGTTGCCAACAAAATAAAGGTATTTTCCGCCGTTTTTAACTTTGGTTTATTTGGTGTCGAATGATTTGGAGGCAAATGTTTAGGTACTTCTATGTAATTGTCAGCAGCTATAATACTTAGTCTTCTGTCTTTTGGTCTTTGGTTTTTTTGCCACTTTTAATTTCACGGTTATTGTTTTTGCTTAATTTGCTTAAGCGGTATGTTAACTTTGATATACCTGAGGGTGCGTTTGGTAATGATTTTACTGATATTATAAGATAACAGTTTTTTCTAGCAGGGCATGTACAAGTGTATCCTTTACCGTTATAATTTAGAAGATGTTTATTGCCATCAGTTGCGCTTTTTACTGTATAACAATCATTTTTTGGTTCATACGCAGCTAAATCTTTTTTAAAAACTATTGATGTCTGAATGATTTACTAATGCCAATCTGTATCGGTTTCATTTGATTTTTACTTATACTTTCTAAGATATCATCTGAAGGAGTAAATTCTAAATCAATTATTTCTAATAACTTTTTTGTGATATTTTGGTCAACCATTTTGAAGTTTCCTAGATTTTTGTAGCCACGATTAATTTCTTTAAGAAAATAAATTTGAAATTTATATAACGACATAAACATAGAATCTAATGGAAACTCTTTGTATTTTTGATGGTTTTTAATCATTCTATTCAAACGTTCTGCAATATTATTTGTTGGATTTACATCATTGAAAACTGAAAATCTGTGATATATTGATTTACTGCAATACATTTTAATGTCATTTTTCAACTGTTTGTCAAAACATTTATGAAAAATTGCTGACCATTTCAATTTCAATCTTTCATAATCGTAGTCAAAGTTGTTACTTTCACATAGTTCCTCAACATTTGTTATGTACACTTTGTAATCATCTTTCTAACCTTTTACTGTGCTGACACCTTTTTACGTCTTGAAGAACATGATTTATGCAAAATATTATGTTCGATGAAATATTTGAGTTTCTCATTATTGATTTTACGATAGATTTTTTGCAATCTATTATAATTGAAATGTTCTTTTCAAATTTATCCAGTAACATCAGATGATATATAAACTTTGACCAAACCATATCGTGCGTTATTTCATGCTTTCTATCGTGTATTACAAACATAACCGGAAATATTGGTTCTTTTACAAAGTCAATGTTTCTTATAACTGAAATTGAAGCATAAAAGTCCCGTAAATTAAAAGTCGTATTATTAGATAACATTTTTGTTTTATTGATTGATTGGCACTGCTTTTTTTTATCAGTTTATTAGCAACCTCCAAAGCTTTTGGATAAGCCATAATTAACATCAAGTCACGATGAATAGCAAAGTGATGGATGAAATCATATAAACCTTGATTAGCTAGTTCTTAAAATCCGTAAATTTCATCATTTGTAGTTCTCCGTTTTTTCAAACTTGTATTTGGTATTTTCGGTTTGCTTAGTGTTGCGTGCTAAAACCGATACTTCGGCATCAATAAAAGAATAAGGAGTATTTTTTAGGTTATACTCTTTTATTGATAGAGTTAAAAAGTTTTTGTATAATTTTTGTAGTTCAATATCCAAAGCATTTGCCTTCATAAGACTTTTTAGATTTGATGTTGAACGGATAAACGGCCCGTCACAATTGCTATTTCCGCGAGGAATTGAAGCTGAAGCGCGATGATCTCCAAAATAGTGAATTATCATAAAAGGCATGTTGCTTACAATAACTTGTTTTTGAAAATCATTGTTGCATTCATTTGTTTTGCCAATTTGATTTTTATAATAAGTTTATATTATACCAAGTTGTTGGTTTTTCACTCTCGCAGTATTTTGAAATCGATAATGATCGTATAAATAATCATCATCAAGTTCACATTTCTATTTATAGATGTATATTTCTCCTGCGTGAAGTTTGATTGGCGCCTATTCAATGATATCCTAATTTAAACTGTCAGTTTTTATTTTATCAAGTATTTGCATAACAAACTGAAAACTAAGTGGGTGATTTATTTTGACGTATACAAAAATTTTTACGTACTCTGTACAACGTGGTTTTCTTCAACATTAGTGGTCATTTACTTTAGGTTTACACCTTTTTTAAATTAAAAACTCAACCAAAAATCATAAAATGTAAAATGATAACTTTAGAAAATAACTAAATATTTTTTAAGCAGATCTATTCAAATACGTTCAAGACTGTATTGGCGCCAAATTTAAGCGCACTAATTATGACCATTTTCTGTTTTGTTTACTTAATTTTTAGTAAGACTTAAGTTCAGTTAATA